ATTTTCCACTCCGCGATATTTGCGTTTCTGTTTTTTGAGAGTGAACCACAACTGCCGATGAGAACAAGTCCAGGATAATTTGACAAGTCATGCGGCTACATACACTAGGCGTCAGCAAATTGCGACACATCTCGAATGCATTAGCGCTGTTCTGGTCTGGCATGAATAATGCTTGAAAGGCAGTAGAATGGAGGAAGAAGAGCTGAATTTATGCGTATGAGAATGGCCCAGAACGGAGAGCAGTGAAGAAGTTGTTTGGCCCCTCACTGGCGAAAACGAAGGTAATGATGTAGCAACAACTGATCATAGCATGAAAGTAAGTTGTTCTTTAAAACTTGCTTGCTGTTACAGGTTTCTTTGGTTTGACAATCCTCTCATTTTTGCTCATTCCAATGTATTTCATCCATGTGCCGTCGACGTTTTCGACGAATCCGCATCATCGAATGGAGGATATTTTCGATGCATTGACTGAAGTGCGGGACAATCCGTGGATTGGAGCCGCGCTTATGCTCACCGTTATCAGGTACCAGTTCCCCCAGATTGAGTCCTTCATAAAACCATAAATAAAGTACCATCAGAAATATTTCATATCTCTACAAAACACTGCGAAACGAGTAATTTGTGCGGTGAATGCATAGCTGTGTGAAACTCCTCAGTGAGAGTGAATTTTAAGCGCCGAAGGCAACCTGTGTAGCAAATGCCATTTTGACTTTGGTCGTCGGAAAAAAAATGCCATTGACAAGAAGTAGCTAACTCTGCACCATGGATGCTTGGTTTGTTTTGCTGCGAAGATTTGAAGCAGACTGATAGACAATTAGGAATTTAGCCCAAGATATGTTTTCATTGCGCATAACCTAAAACTTAAATTTAGTAGTTTCTGAGTATTTTTAGGAATGACATCTTGAAAAGCCATTTTTTATGTGTTTTGTGCTGTGCAATAGCTGCATAAAATGTATATTTTCACAGGCTTGTCTGTGTTTGTGTGCATGTGTGTGCGCAGCAAGTTTTCCGCAACTTTCAACTCGTGAGCCACAAAAGCGAGGAAATTGGAAATTTGAGGGAATGTTCCCCACCCACGTGTGACCTGGGAAATTTATATTCTGCCTCCCCGTCCCCGCAAGTAACACGTATGGCCCTGTAAAAGTTTTGGCAGGTAAAATTATTATCGCGGGAGCCACGGAAGCTGAGAAACTGAAGTTTTTGCACAGTGACTTCTGCCCACGCACAACTTTGCAAATTAAAATTCAGCGTTTCCGCGCTCTCGGGTATCACCTTTGGCACCGTGAAAATTTTGGCGAGGAAATTATTATCTCGGAAAGAACGGAATCTAGGAAGAGATTGAAATTTGGTTGGTGAAGGGAGGGGGGTACCCACCCTTCGAGGTTTCAAATTCAGCTTTCATGTACCGGCGCATTAAATTTTTAACTATTTTTCAACGTTTAAACTATTTTTACATAGAATAAAGTGCAGAGCAGTAAAATCACTAACAGGCAATCGTTCGATGATCAGAATTGCACAGAACGCATGATAGCACCGGCTTTTCTGGTGCGCGCTGCTGCTATTTATTTATAGTTGTGTCCCAATATTTCGTCGCCGGTCGATGCAGTTTGAGTCTTTCTTAACATAATCCAGCTAAAGCACCCGTGGTGGGCTTTTTTTTCACTAGAGGCTTTTCTAGTTTTCATCTAACACTGCTTAATCCGCTCCTAGTGTTTCTTGATGAGGATGTTACTTAGTCTGCTT